ACAGAGTGCTGATGGTCTGTAAAAATATGGGACGCTCTGCCCATATGCCCAATGCGCCGAAAGGCGTTAAAAGGGATCTTTACTTTTTTTACTTTTTAGCACTCGGTGGGTGATGTGGTCAACACCAGGCCAGTCCCCTTTACTTCCAGGAAGCAATTTCACATCAATTTCTTGTCCGTCTATGTTACTACAACAAAATAAATTAAGCTGTAACTTGAAAATGTCTTTTCTGTGATAGCATGCAGATATGAATCATGCACCATATGTCAATCACTACAAAACAACATAATTTTTCTTTAGCTTAAATGTTAAAAGAAATTATTTGGAATTATGAGAATCAGGAAAGAAAAACAATGACATTCTAGAAGACCCGAACCTGGAAGAAACCTGGCTCATAAACAGCATTACACTGTGGAAAACTGAAACACTGAGGCTGTGTTTTATGTAACGTAGGTCAAAGTACAGCATCCTTTCTGCATCAGTGGCACATTGGGCACCTGGTGCTAGACTCATATTTTATAGACCAACCGGCACTGGGTGGCTGATGTGGTTAACATCACGCACTGACATTAAATATGACAGTGTTGAAGAACAGCAATGGAAGACATGTTACCTGGACCAGAAAAAGCAGGGGCTGACCAACAGGAAGTTGGATACAGACACTTCATGCAGGAAAGTACATGAGGCAGGAAATGTGTTAACAAGATTGGGTCTTTCTGGACTGAACGGGGGCAGGATGTTAGCTACATTCTGGAGAAAGACCTGCCACACGAAACAGAAATAAAATTTAAAATGATACGCACATAATCAGCTACAGATTTTTAAAAAAAATATACACAAAAAAACAAAATACTTCACTTGTTCTTTTCCAGGTGAATGTGACCACATCGACTGCACAATATGTTTTTTTATTTGCCCGCTCTATGACTACACTGCAAAAGATTAGCAAATACCCAGTGACTCAAGTAGCCACTATTCAGGTGGGAGTCCAACATGAGCACATCCAAGAAACCTTGTTCAACCATTATATTTGATAGTTAAATTTACAGTTATATGTTAGGCTACCAACTGTTACGGAATAACCTGCAGTCCACTTGAGTGGGTAGTTTGGATTTGTGTGTGCTTAATCATTGATACTTGAACTCTTTACACCCAGGTTGTTTTTTTTACCTTACAGTCGAGTTAACAAACAAAAACACACAGGACCTCATAATTCCTGATCACATTTGGGAGACCAGTCACATCCCACTTCCATGTCTTCAGGCAATGAAAGTATATAATGAGAGTCTCATATTCCCACTACTATAGACCAATCGGAACTCAATGGGTGATGTGGTCAGTATCACACTGGCCATTTTTAGCTCCCATGTCATTTCCTGGTACCAATTTTGGGGATCAAGTCCCAGACTAAAATATAAATATATCTCTTTGGTCATAGGCAGATATTTTCTTCTTATTTAACCATACAAATGACTTCAATTAGGTTAGATATCAGTCAGCTAGCTAACCAATCAACCAGTCAGCGAAATAACCAAATAACCCAAAAATCAGCCACTTAGTCAACTGGTTAGCCAGTGGAGACAACCAATCAGCTAAATAACCATTCAGCTCCTTATTTAGCCACTTAGTCAACTGGTTAGCCGGTGGAGACAACCAACTAACTAGCCAATCAACCAATCAGCTAAATAACCAAACAGCTAATTATTTAGCCACTTAATCAACTGGTTAGCCAGTGAAGACAACCATTCAGCCCCTTAATTAGCCAATTCTCCTTGAACACGGATATGGTTAAGGCAGTCCTACAAGTGGTGAAAATTAGTGGCGAAGCTTTGACGAGAACACACCCAATGACATATGTGGGTGTGCAAAGTTTGATCGCAGTCTGTCCTTCAAAGACCACCTCGACCATGTTATAACGAAAGCCCAAAAAGGCTTATCAGCAATGAGGGCCCTGACCACCTCCAGCATAGAGCAGAGACTGCTTCTGCTACTGTTCCAGGGACTGGTTCTTTTTCTCCAATCGAATATGATTTAGCCATACTCACCGTCTGCAATACTCAGACTGAAAGACTGGAAAAGATGTAAAATGAAGCCATGCGCATTATTCTGGAATGCACAAAAGACACCTCTTACGTAGCATGAGATATCTTTTTGACTTTCCGACAATGCACCATGGGATGAAGATCTGGTGAACTCTTGCATACCTGAAGATAAGCTTGGATTTGAAACACCCTCTGCACAATATCTTTAGGAAAAAGGGCAACAGGCTAAAATAGGGCAAATCATGTTTCTGTAGGGCAGAGGACGATATCATACAGGTCTGTAGTCTTACAGACATCAGCCTCGGCTAAGAATCAATACCTGTGCCGCAGGTGTTCAATTCCACCTTATCCTGTGTTGCCATGCTTGATAGGAGCTGTCAGGAGCAGAACCCAGTTGCTGTCATTGCAGAGGTCCACGAGCTTATATGAGAACATTCAGATGAGGCAAACGTACTGATCTACACAGATGGGTCTGTTGTACGAGGATAAAGAAGTGCATGAGCATTTACTGCGTGCTTTGCATGCAGAACAATCCAGAAAGCAAGTGGTGCTTTCTGTATGACTACTAGCAGCATGACAATCCAGGTAATGGCGCTAACACTAGCTTTGATGTGGCTAGCAGCGCAGGGCTGTTCTCACTTGTGTGTGCTGAGTGATTCTAGGATCATGATCCAGCAGGTCGAGGCGTGCTTTGTACTCAGACAGTGGGTCGAGTCATTGCAAAACTCCACTGTGCGTGGAGTTACCTTCATCTTTGTACTGGGAGTAAAGATCGGCACAGCCAGGCACGAGAAGCATACCATACACATGAGAAGTCTTGTAAACCAACATAGGACTGGGACTATCAACCGCTGGGCACTGATGTATTTGCTGAAGGGGTAATCTGAGCACCTATGGACGGGTCCAGATAACCCAAATCGTTAACTCATAGCCAATTAGTCAACTGGTTAGTCAGTTGAGACAACCAAATCAGCCCATTAAACAGCCAATTAGTAAACCGGTTAGTCAGTTGAGACAACCAAATCAGCCCATTAATTAACCAATTAGTCAACTGGTTAGCCAGGTAAGACAAACAACTTATCAGCCAATCAACCAAACAAGCAGCCAGCTCACAAATCAATCAACCAACCAAGCCGATCTCTACATTGTAATACTATATCCTGATGCAGTAAATATCATTCTTATCTGCCATTATGGACCCAACATTAAACAACATTACCATACTAACAATGAAACCAAAATACCTATTCTATCGAGAGCTTAACACAATCTTAAAGACCAGCATGTTAGATGTTTGCGACAGATATTTCCAAATGTGAGTATTAGAATGTCAATGTTCGGTAAATGTTTCGGTGCAGCTCTGTTGCTTGGGGGTTAGTGAAATTGTTTCACAATGCAAAACTCAACATTTACCAGGGTTTGATTGTCCATGATAGGTGAATTAGAAAAAAACGGTTTTTATGGCTTTTGGACACTGGTATGAGAGTCACACTGTGAAAGAGACTGGGGCCTCACTACATAATATTCAGATTTAGCAATGGATATATTGCAGCCCACCTCCATTGTGAAGACGGCATAAACTGTTTGTAGCTGCAGCTTTTTGGATTCGTTAAGTGCTGCCTATATTTGTTACAATGAAGCACAATTTCAGTATAACAGGCCTTTTAATTGTAGCTAACTGGCCAAATGGTTAGAACACTAGGCTTTCATTGGCGAGACTCGACGTGATCCTCAATAAGGGATGCATTTTTCTTCCAGTCCCAACATGTGCAGTCTGTAGCCGCTGTACTAGCGAGGTACCCTTAGATCCTGATTCTCCCGCCCCCCCTTTGTCCTACACCACCAAGTGGTAAATACCTTTTTTAGGAGACCTATGGACCCCCATTAACAACATCAGTACCTGAACACTCCAAACACATCAACTGGCAACTACTCTACACACAGTATGTATCATTCTCTTTATGTCATTATTGACACATAAGGCATTCATTTTCCATCTGCCATCCACATGAGAGATGCCCTTGCCTAAGTTTTTTTTCTTGTAAATAATGCTATTGTTTTAAACATATTTTCATTACTGTAACTATACTTTTATTATTCTAATTATTTCTTCCCCTAGATCAACCAATTCTGCCCCAGATGTTAATTCAACCTTTATTATGTCATATAATGATATGAATTTAACTATAATTCTATTGTTTTAAATAATTCTTCAGTTACATTAACCCCTTCTACCAGTTGTTATTTTAACTCTGTTATGAACCACATTTTTATCATTGTAACCTATGAAGACTCAGACTTGGGCATTCTAAAATACACAGATTTTAGGAGTGAAACTCTTCTAGAAACAACTATCTGCCACTGAAAGAGTTAAAACAAAAGTATTAAGCTCAGAGGTAGGGTTATGTACTTTTTTTATTTTGTTTTTTTGGTGTGCTGACTTCTCCGAAACAGGGGACAGCTGCAGTCAATATGTACATACACTGTGGTCTTAGGGTAAATCATGTTAATGGGCAAATGAACTTACAAATATCAATCAATCAGGTGCTGTCTCCACAGTGAAGATTGGCTGCAATGGATCTCCAACATACTGTCTTTTGGGTAAAAACTATGATCCTGCTATCTGACCATCTCTAGATGTTATCCTTCCAACTTGTATCATTGTCTACCTCTTGCTTGCTTGCCTTCAACTTTTTCCTCCACTATAATTATTATAAGAAGAGTGTTATGTTTTTTATAGTGGGCAAAATATTTTGACTGTCTCTCTCTTTTTTTTTTAAATTTCCTTCAGCAACTCTTCTTATTCCGTCTCTTCAGAATCTCTGTATATGACTGCTTTTGTTTCCACGAAAAACAACCACTTCTGACGTATCTCCAGAGACTCAATTTGACTTCCCTACAAATATGCACATGTCATTAAAAACAGAATTCATTAACAACAAGATTTACAGGAATATTTTACAAGAAATATGGAGTCTGGTTTCTGGGTGGTATAACCCGCTCACTGTCTGGGACAGCTCGGAATAGTTTGGCTTCTTTGTGGTCTGAGTCAGAGAAGGAGAGAACAGCTGCGATGTTGCCACAACGATAGCAATAGTTGGGGGCCGACCACACTGTCACTAGCTTCTCGTCAAACATGAACTTGTAGCCTGAAATCAAGATAAATTATAAAATTGTAGGCCTGAAAACCAGGACAATATATAACATGCAGCTTGCAATCAGTACAAACTGTAACATGTAGCTTGCAAACCAGGACAGATTAGAACATGTAGCTTGACACTAGCATAATAAGAACAGGCAGTTTGCAAACAAGGACAAAAAAGAACATGTAGCTTAAAACTAGGACAATAAGAACATGTAAACTGAAAACTGGAGAGGGGTGGGAGAAACACATAGTAGCTTGAAACCAGAACAACAAGGACATGTAGCTTGCAACCAGGACAATAAGGACATGTAGCTTGCAACCAGGACAATAAGACCAAGTAGCTTGCAAACTAGGACAATAAGAACATGTAGCTTGCAAGCCAGGGAAAATAAGAAGTAGCTTGCAAATCAGGAAAAATTAGAACATGTACAAGTAGCTTAAAACTATTCTATTCTAAGTTGTTCCCCACCAGGATATCAGACAAAGCGATAGACACCCGGTGACACAAAGTGCCACCATGCGGATGAGGTTCACCCGTGGAGAGGTCCCAGAAACCCCTTTCAGCCGCTAGGCCATATTTATGGCCTGGCTATATTCAGGGCCCCCGGGCAAAAGCCAGGGTGGGGCTTCAAATAACGAAAAATGGCATCCTCCGTGGGGATGACTAGTACACGATAGCTTACAACTAGGACACTAAGAACACCAGGACAATGACCAGAATAATGTTCTGTTAAATGTAATATTGCTTCAGGTTAGGGTTAGCCCTCAATCTCATTCTGACTCTAATCTGAAACAATATTACATATTAAAGAACATTATTCTGTGAGCTTAGACAAACAATGAATTATGTTCCCTAGGGCAGGCACTTAAAAGCACCACTAACGTAACAGATTGCATCCGCTGTTTGAAGTTGTGCCAAAAAGGGACTCACATCGTAGAACATCATTTGTGCAGCACATAAAACCTGAAATAATGAAAACCACAGGAGGAGGAACTCTAGCACAACTACAAGTTACCTCGTAACAGTTGTGTCATGCCCCAGGACAACTGTGCTATTGGTTATACAGCTGAACAGGGTTTCCAGAAATCGAACCTGTTTTTATGCTCATCTTTGAGATGTTAATCCCACACCCCCATGTGGGTCCTGAGGACCTTTTATAGGGAAAACAAGAATAGATCCACTGCCTATCCAAAAGCATGTTGTAAGATTCAACTATTTAGAAGCTTCCTTCGAAGTCGGAGTGCATCTGCCTAAGAGGCAAGGAACCAACAGTCTGCATACAAATGTGTCAGATCTGTCAAACGAATGCACACACAACACTCAGATTCTGGAACAGGACTGCAGTCCAGAAATGGACGAACAACCAGAATTTTCCACCAGAGTTTATAACTCGTGAACGCAAAGAAGAAGTAGTTAATCCTACAGACTGCAATCCTGGAGGGGAATAACTTTGAAAAACCAAAACCAAACACTGACCTTCATTGACCAGCTGATGTGCCCGACAGATCAACTTGAGGTCGTTGATGTTCATGAACTGAAACCAAAAAATGTCTACTTGTAACAATGGTCACTTTCTTGTAACAATGGTCACTTTCACCTGATTTAAAATAAAATTAATGGTGATTTTAAAAGATTATGAATTTCATTAGTTTGTTTTACATTTCTCCACATTGTCCTCTTGACGGATCATCTAATCTAATCAACACTTTAAACAATATTTTAGACAGAGCTGTTGCTACCTCCTGACATAGTCAAAACATTAACCCTGTTGTTCCTAGAAGCTCAGAACCAGGCACTTTCGCCTGTGAGTAATTCTTTACATCTTTTAACCAGTTCCCCCCCCCCCCCCAAGAAGCTTGTCCTCGAGTGGCCTAATTAAATGCCACTTGTTCTATTTGCGCCTGTGCAGTGTACATGAGCCTTGGATATGAATATATTTACTAAAAATGAGATTTCAGAAAAAAAGGGGTATTTGGACAAGATGGCTTTAATAAAAAAAAAAAAAAAAACACTGAGGTCATAACTTTCTCACAGCCTCAGCATAGAGGTCACGGGGTCATGACAGGAGTCACCCAATATGTATTGTTTTAGGCCCCGTGGAATGTATTGTGTGTAATGCTTTACTCCGTTTGTATTTGTTGATTACTCCCGTAAAATATTTCAAACAAATAATTTTAAAATGTACTATTGATCTGTGTCAAATGGTTTTTAAAAAAAAGTATTTATGGGGGAGCTTCCGCAGAATCCTGACTTTTTTAAAGTTTCTGGGATAACAGGATATTTGCTTTCTCTTGATCTAATCAACACATTAATTAAACAAGGTATTTGGAAGGGCTGTGCACTACCTCTTGATCCCTTTACTTTCAAACTCTCTTCTCCATGTGTTTTTTTTTCTTTTGTCTTTATTCCTTTGATCCTATGAGATCCTGGGAAGGGACATTCTTGTTATTTTGTTATCAGGTTTTCTGTTTCCTATCCAGCCTTTGCCTTTGAGTTTTTGCCTCACTTCTTGCATATTATTCTTTATATTTATTCTGTGTGGCTACCTGTGGCAGCTGATACCAGGGGACTCTAAACCTTAACATTGAAGAACAAAATCTAACAGCGTTTAAATAGTTTGTGCTGAAGACAGAAGGCAAATCCTGTAGTTCCTCTTCCTCTTAGTAATCTTAGTTATAGCTACAAAGCAAACGGGTTATCCCATAGTTGCTCCGTTTCTATGCCAATGAAACATGCACAGAATGTCCATCAGAGTCCTTTGTGGAAAAATGGACACAGACTGCTGTCTCAGCATATCCCCTAGCATACACACACATTAAAAGCACAAGGCAGCCATCAGAAGTGCCAACACAAACAGTCCGACATTAGAAATGCAGTTCATCATCAATGCAAGCAGCAGTTACAAACAGATCAGCAGTTGCACATGCGATTAATTTTAACCACATAAAGCACCACTAATTCTGTGGCAAAAGGCTACTCGCCATTTTTGAAATCTACAGTTCATAACAACATGCTCACAGTCAAAAAACATTCAAAATGAAATCCGCAGCTCAGTGTCACACCATGCACTAACTCAGTAGATGGGCGACAAAACTATAACTTTTCAGTCTATAAATGGAGGATAATGCAACGACCACTGTCTCTCAGAAGCTAAAATTTCCACAACTAAAAAGAGTGAACGTGTCTAACCTCCATTTTGACTGGAAGCTTTTCTTCTTGGTGTTTACCATAAACTCAGGCAGAAAGTTCTGGCTGTTTGTCTTCTTCTTCTGCGTTCGACATCAGTCATGCTAAACACTGAGTCCCGTCTGGGTCACAAATAGGATTGTGCATTTAAGGTCGCCACAGGCCCCCCATAGCTTCTCTCGCAATGTGGCTCCCTTGAGCCAGATCCACAGTCTTTGCTGGGAGAAGTTAGGGCAGTACTGTAGTATGGGCTCAGGGGTCTGTCTTTCTGCTCCACAATCACAGGCAGCAGATTCATTTATGCCTATCCTGTACAGGTATGCTCGAAGACCACAGTGCCCTGTCCGAAGTCTAAAAATTGATGTTTGTTCGTTCCTGTTGAGTTTGTTTATGCAGTCATTCTCTGGTCTCTAATCCCCATTCTGTTTTCTCCACTCCCGCTTAAAAGACTGCTTTAGCGCTGTTTTGGTTTCCTAGCAGCTGTGAGCTGGATGAGGTTGTGGAAGATTTTTTGCCGACTTCTCAACTTTGGTCTTGTTCCAGAGTTTGAGAGGCGAAGAACCAACAGTATACATAAAAATAAGCCAGATCTGGAAAACAGATATACACGCAACCAGACAAAGTCCAGAAGTGGATCAACCAGTTGTACTTTCTGCCAGAGTTTACATCAGGTGAATACCAAGTAGAAGAAGAAGAAGAAATGTTACCTCATTGGTGACTTTAGCTCCAAACAGCCACCCTGCACCTCTAGGGCTCATGGCCCACGTATCCACATCTTCTGGATCAGACCACACTAAGTCTGTGAAAAAAAGAACACTGCACTGCTTTCACCAGAAACAATGACAACTGCAATCAAATGTAACGATGAAAATATTTATAGAAAAAGAGAAAAGGGAAGCCAGCAAGAGAAGAATGTTAACAATAAATTAATAAGTCGAGAACTGACATTTACGTAGTCGGGAGGGGGAGGGGGGTGTATTAGCAGCTGCAATCGCTGCTTGCACTTTCCAATGGAAAATAAAATATATTTTCTTACTTTATTTGTTATTACAGTTTACTTTTTATTACAGAGCTTAGTTTACATCTCAAACATAGCGAAAAGAATGCTTGCTGCAGGCAGAAACTGAAATGTGTGGAAAATACCAGTTACCAGTACGACGATGCTAGCAGTGCAATACCGAAGCGACGAGAAGGAAAATATGATACCCTCTCCAGCATAAACATGTCCTACTAACTCTTACACATGCAAACTGACCATACCTTGCCACTGGGTAAGACATTCCAACCATTTTTTCCACGTCCATTTGTTTCTGATGCTCAATTCTGTTTAAAGAGATCCCATGGGATCTGTAGAGTCTGTGCTGCTTCACCTTAGACTCAGTGTCTGTGGCTAAGTTATGAATGTAGTGTCATGATTCCAACATATTTGGTTCAATTCAGCTGCAGGCTTTTGTGCATCGATTTCTACAACACAATATGCACAGATCACATAGAAAGCAATAAGCAATGACAGACTACTGTGCACAGAGCACTCAGAAAGCAATGACAAACTACTGAATGTAAAACTGCTTAGTTAAACCACAGCCAACAAATGCTGGTGATGTCCTGTAAATATTGAGCAATTAACACATTTTTTTTTAGTTTCAAACTCACCGCAGAAAGCCCCCTTGTGAGGTATCTCTTGGTTCCTCTCAATTGTCCTGATCTGATCAATAGTTTTTATGTCAGGGGACAGGCCTCCGTGCACACACAATATTACCTCGTCTATAATCTGTCACAGAGAAACATTTAAAAATATCAATATACACTTTAAAGACTTCATCAGGTACGTTATGAGATTTGAACTACAATCCATCACAGAAAAACAATTTTTTTAATGCAAAAAAAAAAAATGTACATAAAAAAAGAAACATTTAATAATCAAGTAATATATGAGACCAAAACTTTGTGCCTATTAGCTCTAAAAAAAAATCTTTTGAATAATTAATAAGCTGTCCTTAAAATTAGACAAAAAGAATAATTTAATTAGGTAAATTATGACAAAACCTGAACTAATATAGATCACAGTATTCTCTGGTTGTATGTTCTCTGGCTGTATGTTCTCTGGTTGTAAACTCCGGCCGAAAGTTCTGCTTGTGTGTCTACTTATGGACTTTGGTCTTTTCTTGAACTTGAGTTTTGCATGCACACCCGTTTTACAGATCTGTATTTGTATGTATACTGTTGGTTCCTTGCCTCTCAGTCAGATGCACTCAAACTTCGAAGAAACACCCCTAATTAGTCTACTCGTATGACATGTTTGTTAGGGGTAGTGGTCTACCCAACCATGAGGCTCTAAGAAGCCACACAGGTAAGAAGAAAAGCATGAAAAACCATTCAGGAATTCATGGATTTAAAAAGAGCATATCATTTTGCGATGAGAAAGAGAAAACATGACATACTTATTAGAAAAATAGCAAACAATAAGTATTGATCAATACAAGAAGAAATGGCAATCAATGACGCACCAGCACAAACTGACATGATAAGAAACAAAAGCCCAACTTACAGCAGCAATAGTTAGAAGATCAAACACGCGACAGCAGTATCTCCATGCATTTGCGTTTCCATACTTTGTCTGGCACTCATCTAAACACAACAACAAACAAAAATAAACAAGTTTTTGATATTAATATATTACATCTGAGAGCTGGCAGAAATAGAATAACCAGCTCCATGTAACCTTCTTCATGTACACAGGCTATAAACTCCAGCAGAAAGTTCAGGTTGTTCATCCACTTCTGGACTTTGGCCTTGTTCCAGAACCCGAGAGTTGTGTGCACATCCACTTTCTGATTTATATGTATGCAGATTGTTGGTTTCTTGCCTCTCAGGCAGATTCACTCAGACTTAGAAGAAAGCTCCCAATTAGTATACTCCTACAACATGCTTTCTGTGGGGGAGGGGGGGGGGGCGGGCAGTGGGTTTGTTCTTGTTTTCCCCACAACCCATGTGGGGAGTTCCACTGCAGAATCACTGTGGTGACTGGGAGGCTCAATAGCTCAATATAAAAATGTGAGGTTAAGTAGTCATGTGTAGCACATGATAATTTCTTGGGTAAGCCAAGTACCAGGGCGTCATGTACCAGCTCTGTATTTATGGATGGCATCTTGAGGGGAAGGGGGGGGGGGGCGGCAAGGCGTGTGGATCAGGGGATGAAGATATTGAAACAATAATGAGGCTGTGCAATGTCTTTAAAGAGAAGGCTACATTAACAGAGAACAAAATGTGTGAAGAAGTTGGATGTGTTGGCTTAACGCTGCAAAATATCACAGCTAGGGTGTAATCAGGCACAAAGCAACTATTTTATTATTATTTTTCCCGTTCATTAGATGTAAACTCTGGCAAAAAGATATGGTTGTTCGTCCACTTCTGGATGTTGGTCTTGTTCTAGAACTTGAATATTTTGAATGCACATCCATTTTAAAGATCTAAGAAAAATATAACAACAGGTATAAACTTGAAGATATCGCCAAATAAAGAACTGACCATAAAACCCATAAATTTGTGTGATCTGACGACTTTCATGATTGCCTCTCAACAGCAGAATCTTGTCAGGCCATCTGTTGAGACAAGAGATATTGTCATTAGTGATTGTGCATCATCATCATCATGTGAACTAACCGTTCTTCTTCAACATCTTCCTTTCCCCTTTTATCACTACACTTTCTTTTTAAAGTTCAATTATGTAAGTATAATAATTTAAACAAAATTATGATTAGCTATGAAATGATGTATGAATGAATACCTGTATGCAAGGAGTGCACTGGAAGGGCAGAAAACCTGTATGCAAGGAGCGCACTGGAAGGGCAGAATACCTGTATTTATGCAAGGAGTGCACTGGAAGGGCAGAATACCTGTATGCAAATAGTGCACTGGAAAGGCGAATACCTGTATGCAAGGAGTGCACTGGAAGGGCAGAATACCTGTATGCAAAGAGTGCACTGGAAGGGCAGAATACCTGTATGCAAAGAGTGCACTGGAAGGGCAGAATGTTAGATGGGCTGGCATGCCCAATTAAATTTGTTACCCTTTGAAATTAAAGTTCATTCATTCCTCCTCGTTTTCTTCTTCAGTATTCAAGCATGTATGTATGTATGTATGTGACTGAGAGTGTGTCTGTGAGGGAGATGGTGTTGTATGTTAGTGGGAGATTGTGTGTATGTGAGAGAGTGTGAGTGTGAGTGAGAGTGTGTATGTGAGAGAGAGTGTGTCTGTGAGGGAGATGGTGTGTATGTAAGAGAGCATGAGTGTGAGTGAGAGTGTGTATGTGAGGGAGATGGTGTGTGTATGTTAGTGAGAGATTGTGTGTATGTAAGAGAGTGTGAGTGAGAGTGTGTACGAGAGAGTGTGTGTATGCGAGTGAAAGAGAAAGAGAAGGGTGGTGTGCGAGTGTACGATCCTTTTTTTACTTTACAACAAAGCCATACAGTGAGTCATATGAATCTACCAGATTACGTGGTAAACACTGCTCTAAGCCACCCAGCCTATGACTAATATACCTAGACCACGACTAAGCCACCCAACCCACAACTAAGCCACCCAGCCCATGACTAATATACCTAGACCACGACTAAGCCACCCAACCCACAACTAAGCCACCCAGCCCATGACTAATATACCTAGACCACGACTAAGCCACCCAACCCACAACTAAGCCACCCAGCCCATGACTAATATACCTAGACCACGACTAAGCCACCCAACCCACAACTAAGCCACCCAGCCCTTAACTAATATACCTAGACCACGACTAAGCCACCCAACCCACAACTAAGCCACCCAGCCCATGACTAATATACCTAGACCACGACTAAGCCACCCAACCCACAACTAAGCCACCCAGCCCATGACTAATATACCTAGACCACGACTAAGCCACCCCAACCCACAACTAAGCCACCCAGCCCATGACTAATATACCTAGACCACGACTAAGCCACCCAACCCACAACTAAGCCACCCAGCCTATGACTAATATACCTAGACCACGACTAAGCCACCCAACCCACAACTAAGCCACCCAGCCCATGACTAATATACCTAGACCACGACTAAGCCACCCAACCCACAACTAAGCCACCCAGCCTATGACTAATATACCTAGACCACGACTAAGCCACCCAACCCACAACTAAGCCACCCAGCCCATGACTAATATACCTAGACCACGACTAAGCCACCCAGAGCACAACTAAGCCACCAAGCACATGACTAATATACCTAGACCACGACTAAGCCACCCAGAGCACAACTAAGCCACCCAGCACATGACTAATATACCTAGACCACGACTAAGCCACCCAGAGCACAACTAAGCCACCCAGCACATGACTAATATACCTAGACCACGACTAAGCCACCCAGAGCACAACTAAGCCACCCAGCACATGACTAATATACCTAGACCACGACTAAGCCACCCAGAGCACAACTAAGCCACCCAGCACATGACTAATATACCTAGACCACGACTAAGCCACCCAGAGCACAACTAAGCCACCCAGCACATGACTAATATACCTAGACCACGACTAAGCCACCCAGCCCACAACTAAGCCACCCAGCCCACACTAAGCCACCCAGCCCATGACTAATATACCTAGCCCACAACTGAGCCACCAAGCCTATGACTTAGCCACCCAGCCCACAACTAAGCCGCCTGGCCCTGAACATAATTCACCTCCCAACTAAAGCCATTTGGGCCAAGAGCCATGCCATTGAATTCACAACAAATCTACTGGCCCACAACCAGGCCACTGAGTCCACAACTAAAGTCCCTCAGATAAATAGATCAAACTCAACAAACACCAAGAACAGACAGCAATATAACAAGATCTTACTTAGCCTTCAAGGTCATGAGCAATGTGAAGGTTTCCAAACTGAAGTAGCCTCTGTCAACAAAGTCTCCCTGGAAGTCAGAAGTCACATTTCTCTGTCAGCTCTAGCATTTTTAATGACACATGATGATGATAACGATAATGATGAAGATGGTGACAATGATCACACAAATCTTCTTCTTAGTGATCCCTGACTATAAACTCCAGTGGAAAGTTCTGGTTGTTTGTACACTTCTGGACTTTGATCACATTCCAGAATTTTAGTTTTGCATGCACTTCAATTTTACAGATTTAGCCTAATTATATGCAGACAGTTGGTTCCTTGCTTCTCAGGCTTAGAAGAAAATACTCCTAATTAGTCGACTTTAACTACATGCTTGTTAAGGAGGCAGTAGGTTAACCCCCACCCCCCACACACACTTTCTCCACCAATGATTTTGGAACTACACAGGGAGATCATGAAAATGAAATCATGAAAATTATGTTAATTAAGAAGATGACGATAAAAGTAACAACTCGGCATGACAGTTAAATATAAAGCATCTTCATGTGCCATGAGGCTTCTTCTTCTTCACTGATTCTTCTGTCAGTAACTCAAACCAGGAGGCCAGTAGCCTTCATGAAAGTTATTGGGCAGTTTAAATCTCCCGGTGTACCATACAGCTTTTTCTTAATGACGTGTCATGCTGATAATAACTCTGCGTCAACAGAGTTCCCCACTGGAAGCCAGCATAAAATTTCTCGATCAGTTTTAGCTTCTACTGTGACAGATGATGACAGTAAATATAAAACAACTTATGAACAATAGTCATTAGTCGAGGCTCCAACTTCACTGTAAACAGGTCACCACATACTTGCCCCATTACTCATCTCATCTTAATCCTCTTGTATCTTGCAGTGTCAAGATGAAGTATAATTTGCGGGGAAGGTGCCTGTTTGTGCACTTTGAATATTGGTATTCCGAAGGACTCTGTTATTGCATCTGTTAATGGTTTGCACTGTTGGCCTTTTCCTCACTTCCCGCCAGGTCTGTACATCACTGCCTGCTTGGATAAACTGTTTTTGGCATCCGCGGTATATGGCTTAACCATTTCACTTGTTGTTTTCTAACGAAGTCAAGAGACACCACTACTCCCATTCTTCTTCAGATTTCACCATTTCTGATCTTCCCGCTTCTTGTTATAATAAGAGTCCTTCACAGGAATGATATCAGTTGTTCACCTGTATGCTGACAACAGAGACGCAATCAGGCCTTTTCCAACCACAATGAAGACAAAACTATATGGTACACGAGAGGATATGGATTGCACGATAGCTTTCATAAAAGGCTACCGGCCTCCTGATATAGGTTTTCTGACAGAAGGATCGAAGAAGAAGTTGTTTAATTGTTCTGTTTACTTTTTCTGTCATTGTCCAGGTCTGGCATTGATAGCACAGGGCAGCCTCAAGAAGACCCTGCCATAGAGAGCTCTTTTGGTATCTACTGACACATGTTTGTTTCTTAGTGTTGGTGCCATCTGCTCAATGAGTTGGTTTGCTCTGTTATAAATCTGTCATCGACCTCATCTTTTGATTTGCCAGGTGATATTATGCTTCCTAAATATCTGAAGTTCTTGGTTTGTTTCAGAGGATATTATGTAAGCTTATTATTTACTGTCTGGTTTACGTTGGTTATGGTCATGACCTCTGTTTTATTGGCTTTAATTTCCAGTTATGCTTTTAAGCACACTTGGTTTAAATAACTTATACAGTCTTGCAGTTCTGTTTCTGAAGTAGCAATTAGTGCTTGGTCATGTGAAATTAGTACTTCTTTGATGAAACTTTGTCTTTGGGTCAATGTTTCTTCTTGGGTATTACATAGCCTTTGTTTGGTTGATTTCTTTATGTTATCAATGTAAGTTATAAAGTAGGGGAGATAAGACACCGCCCTGCTGTACTCCATATTTGTTTGGTGAATCATTCTGGGTGTCCTTCGTCTGTTCTAACAGTACATTAGCTGTTGTAGACAAGTGACCAAGAAAGGAAACAGAAACTTACCATCAAAATGTAAGGAGAAAGCAGATTGGAAAAGTCTGAACTACTGACCAACAAGGGAAACATCAAAGAGAAACTTACCATGAAGACATAGTTTGTGTCTGGCATTTCTCCACCAGTTCGGAACAGCTCCATCAGGTCATAAAACTGTCAAGTAAAGTACATTAGCTAGAAACTGTATTCTAGTTTATAAAAAAAGTCTAGATTCAAAACTGTGTAGATAACTAACTGTATAATAATAAAGATTTCAAACTGTAAAACACTGAAAATAACTAACTGTAAAACGTTCTAGCTTTAAAATGTAAAATAATATAGATTTCAAACTGTAAAACAGTCCTGATAACAAACTGTAAAACTCTAGATTATACATGGATAAAGTTTAGATAAAACACTGTTTATTGATGTGGAAAAAAGTGTAAAATGAAATTTTTAGTTTGCTCTTTATCCCTTTTTGAAGCACAGGCTTTTACCATCTCCTGAACTAACAAAGTCAGCAAAAGATCCTTCTCCCACCTCGGGGCATACAGTGCTAGACCTATATTGTTACAAACTAATTACACTCAATGGCTGATTAGGTCAACATCATGCCGGCCGCTGGATTAATGGTAAATTGTTGGAAAAAGTTTGCCTCTTATGTTTATTTTAACCCATCTTCAAGCTAGCATCTAGCCCCTTTTATATTGCGGTGTCAACTCCCAAATGTCCTCGCCGCATTATTAATATATGTCTGTAAGTGTCTCCTCCAGTGTTTTTTTTTTGTTTTTGTTTACCCTGCAGGCTCCCGTGAAAAGATAGTTTTGTTTAACTATTGTTAAGTTGTTTCCTCACATCTTATTTATTGGAATTTATCTAGTTATCTCCTTCAGCTCCACTTGATCCCACTGGATGAAAAATGGGAGCCCGTGGAATACACATTTATAGATGTTGGGAAAGGTTAAGGCGGGTGATGTCCATGGAATTTACTTGACTGAATGTGGGAGATTGAACAGGAGGAGAGTCTTTCAATGGAATTCAACAAACTGACAAATGGGGGTCCATGGAATTTACTTGACAAAAATGGGGAAAGGGGGAGGGTGAAGGTGCTCATAGAATTCAGTGAGAAAGGTTCCAGTAATTTCTTCTTCTCAAAGTCTATGCCATGTGGCATTGGTAGTCATATTTATCCACAACCTTCTGTCCCATGTACTTCCAATAAACTCTGACACAGATGATCCTCCACGCCATAATGTCAAACTGTCCAGCACTTTCTTAATTTAATGTAATTTACTAGACTGATAAAGGAGCATCTATGGAATAACTAGACTGTGTAAGGTGGTGGTGGAAAAGAGGGCGATGGGAGCATGGAAGAAGATATGTTCATGGAATGTACCATATTTTTGAAGTGGGTGGAGGCATTGAATTTACTAAATTGCCATACTATTAAAAAAAAAAACATCCATGGAATTCACTAGAAACCTGAAAAGAATCCACGGTAATAAAAGGAAGAAGATGAAACACCTGTGGGTGAAGACAACACTGACCTGTCCGTGGATGTCACCACATACAGTGACCGGTGTCTGCACTGGCTGGACATTGGATTCTTCCAGCAACAGCTCACAAACCATGTCACACAGTTTCTGTGGAGAACATACATAACATCTGTGAGAAGGTGTTCAAATCTTACAGATAAACTGATGCAGCCCCAAAAGGCTAGCCAGACCTGGGTGACAAGTGCCTGAAGAAGTTGGATATCGGCTGAAAGTTAAAATATCACAGACAGACAGAAAAATGCTGTAATCAGGCACAATGTAATTACCTATGTCCTTGGATGAATGCAGTTTAAGTGTGAGTGATCTGTCTCTTAATTTCAAACAGATGCGGTCTCCACAATGACTGTTGCCTGCAATGGATCTCTAAGTCTTTTGATGTTGTCTGCCCACTTGTATCACTGTCTACCTCATGCCCTCAAATTTTTTCTCCAATATGGTTTTAAAAGCGAACTTTGTCTTTCAATGTGGCCAAAATATAATTGATTTGTCTCAATCAGTACCAAATCACTCACCCTGCATTTATTGTCTCCACTCCACAGGATTTGTTTTTCTTTATCCATCGTCATTTAGTTGTAATCTCAGTTGTTACAAGTACTTATTCTGTTTAAAGTTTAACCGGACTATGATCTAAATTTGTCCTTTTCAGGGTCCATAAAAGGGCTATGATTTGAACTCTTCCTCTTCTGTGCCTATAAAAGGGCTATGGTTTGTACTCTTTCTCTTCTGTGTCGATAAAATGCCATAATTTGAATCCATCCTTTCCTTTATCCAATGTCCCTCTTACATTATCATCATCGTGCTGTAAGTAACAGTGTTACTAACACTGCTTGTCATTGGATTACCCATTGTTGATACAAAGAAATACTTTGCCTTGAAACCAGTAACCACGCAGTGGTGCTACGTCTCAGGTGATGATTGTCACACACAAATCAACTCCCCCCCCCCCCCCCCCCCCCCCCCAACCCATTTTTCCTCTGAGAAAAAGAGAGTAATGAAATTATGGAAATTTCGGCTCTCCTTTAAATAACGGTCGCTAGTTGGACGTCGACGGCCACTTAGTCGGAGTTTAATCACCGCTATCACCAGTCTTATTCAATGTTTATACGGTGATGATCACTGAGCAGCAGTTGAATGGAAAGGGAAGGACTTTGTCATTTGCTGATGACATTTTGATTTATCGACGAGGGCGTGATAGACAGGAGATCGCCAGCACAATGCACAAAGAACTCGATCGAATTGCCGCCTGGTGTGATGGTTCCAATGCCTATGTCAATCCCTCGAAGGCATCAGTGTCATGGTTCTCTTTGAACAATCACATTGTCAAGTCGGACTTACCAGAAGTGAAAATGCGTGATAATGTATTGATCAGAACCAACGTTATGACGTTTCTCGGGGTGAGGTTCGATCGCAGCTTGTCATTCAGGGAACACGTTGACCATGCGATAACAAAAGCACGCAAAGGTCTATCTGCAATGAGGATTATGGCTGCTTCCAATATCGAGCAAGACTGCTGGTGCTTCTATTCTATGGTCTGGTCCTTTCCCCCATTGAATACGCTCTGGCCATCCTCACTGTCAGTGCTACCCAGATTGAACGACTCGAGAAGGTGCAAAATGAAGCCATGCGTATTATTTTGGGATGTACAAGAGACACATCTTGTGGAGCAATGAGGTATCTACTTGACTTTCCAACAATGAACCAAAGGATCAGGATGTGGAGGGCTCGGGCATACCTCAAAATATGTGCTGATAAGAAAACACCCACTGCATCAAGCGCTTTTTAGTGAAAAGGGCGACAGACTGAAGAGGGGAAAATCGTGGCTAGGTCGGGCAGAAGATGTTATTAGGCAAATATGCAGCCTAACCGACATCATACCTGGTGCAGAATGGATACCTGTGCCTCAGGCGTTTATTTGTACATTTTCCTGTATTGTCACACTCAACAGGCGATGTAGAGAAGATAATCCTGTTGCTGTTAATGCAGAGGTCAACGCTCTCATCGGTGAAAATTCAGACGAAGCAGATGCACTAATCTATACAGACGGATCAGTTATACGCCAAAGAAGAAGCGCATGGGCATTTACAGCACGCTCAGCGGGCAGAACAGTCAAAGAAGCCAACGGCGCCTTCTCCATGACAACCAGCAGCATGACGATGGAGGTGATGGCAGTGACGCAAGCGTTTGCCTGGCTTGAAACACAAAAATACACCCGCATATGTATACTCAGTGATTCAATGAGTATGATCCGGAGGGTTCAGGCAGGTTCAGTGCGAAGACAATGGCTTGAATCAATTCAGAAGTCCACTGTGCGAGGAGTCACCTTTATTTTTGTTGTTCGGGACACGCAGGCGTCGATGGAAATGAAAGAGCTGACAGGTTGGCTGGATCCGCTATCACTACCGACGGTCGGCCTATGGATCATGCTGATATTATCAATGCCTCAGAGAAATGGGAAGGATAGAGGACTTTGGTGGCAGTGAATCCACATCACTCGCCAGAATGGCAGACTTGGGAATTAAGATCGGCACAGCAAAAAACGAGACGCACACCGGACACGTCAGAAGACTTGTTAATCAACATAGAACTGGTACTATTAGCCATCGGACGTTGGGATTCATACTGAGGGGAGGATCTGAGCACTTATGGACATGTCCGGAGTGCAATGATGATAACCCAACTAACTAACTAACTAACTAACTAACTAATCTTTGTTAACCAGAGTAATTCAACAAACAAACACGATTTCAAAAATAAATAAATGTATGCGGTAAAACCACCTTTAAATCATTTTCTGGCAGATATTTGCATTGTTTTGCGATATCAATCCAGTGGTCTACGTCGGCCATCTTGACTGAAGCTATCACATATTATCTGCCCTTATTGTCTGCTTCTCCATAATCTGTTTCCGTCATCATTTGTGGTCCAAAATATTATGGTTCAAAATAGGCTGAGGCAGACAGTGATACAAGAGGGAGTAAAAATATTAAAAAATTGACAAGCAGCAGTCTGAGAGTGTTTACCCAGGGCCTTAGACTGAGTGTGTTAGAGATCCATTGCAGCCAAACTTTATCACGAATCCAACTGACTGATTGACTGAATAAGTTAAACAAGTCTATCCACAATCTGTCCCGTATACTTTGATCGGTTCTGACACACATCTTTCATGCCATGATGTCAAACTGCCCAGCATCTTCTCTCTTCATCTCCCTCTGCTTCCTTTCCACTCTAACTTTCCCACAGTCACGATGTAGTCCAGTTTTCTTCTTTTTATGACATGGTCAAAGAATGTAGATTGTCTCCTGTTTCAAGCATATTGTGTCATTTTTATACAAATATTCTCCAATGCCATGGTGGAAAACTAGCATCTTTTCGTTTAGTTTTCCTCTGCCTTCTTTTCTAACAACTTTCTTGTTGCTAGGAATTAACGAGTTTTGAATCTACGCGCCTAAACATGTGGACTGGCTGCCTCTGGTGCAGACGACCACTTTGTATGTTAATGTTTTCTTCAGTACGCCTTTTATCTGCCCATCGCGTGTCCCCAGCATTCTTGAATAAAACCATATCTTAGCAACTTTCACATTTCTTCTCACAAATCTACTGTCAGTTTTGTCGCAAAAATGTTCAGTACGTTGCAAGCCTAAACTAAATATAGCAGTAGAGTGGAAACGGGTTGATGAGGCATTTGAGTTTAAATATATGGAAATACATTGGAAAGATATGAAACCAAATAAAAGCAGGCCAGTGAGCTTAACAATATAACAAAAACAAATGAAAAGTGAACGTTGCGGCTAGAGAGCCTTCATCAGCACATACATAAAACAAACAACAACAAAAGCATGAGTACACACAATCTTTAAACTGACGTATCCTGAAACAGCCATGTTGATGTCTTGAAAGTGAAATGAAAAGACACGTGCGGCCCTAGAATAAATATATTCCATAAATATATGAAAACACTATTCACTGAAGAAGTAAAATTGGATGAAGAAATTAGCATCAGATGCAGTAAAGCAAACCACGTCCGGCTGCATATGTCAGTCCTGACAACTGAATCACGGTGCATTTTGGAGGAGTCCCCCTCGAAAATAGGTTACTGGGAGAGTTTCCATGTTGCATTGTGTGACATATTAATATGCTACAAAATCCTGTGTTCTAAACGTATTCGTATTTCAAATCTACAAATGGATATTGTGAAGTGGATATACAGCATTTTTAATTTTAATTCACGGAAGACAGTCGTGTTGTGATGTGTCAGTGTCACTGTTTCTAGTCAGTATTTCGGATTTTTGGGAACTGGCTGTTTATTACTTTTATACTTTAAATGTAGAAATCTTACTTTTAGGGATAATACAAACAGGTAATTTAGAAGCCATATCTGGAGAATATCGACAGTTGACAAGTGCAAACTATCTTGTGTGTGAAGAAAACTATTGCTTTCATATTGACTGTGCATAAATGGTGCAAGCACACTGTGGATAAATTGTGTCAAGATATTTCGGAGCTCTAGGTAAGTGGATGAAAATAATATTTAATTTACTAACTAACCTCTCACAGCAAGTCACTCTTTGCCTCTTTACTAATTGTTGACTAACAGTATAATTATATGTTGTAGCAGTACACTAATAATATTAATCCTTAACCATTTGACTTATGCTTCGCGAACACTGGCTGTAAACTCTTGCAGAAACTTCTGGTTGCTCATCGACTTCTTTTGCATATTTGCAGTTGTACGGTCTGTGGTAATCTTTGTAAAATGGCTTTTGCTTTGCTTCGTGAACACTGGCTGTAAACTCTTGCGGAAACTTCTAGTTGCTCATCGACTTCTTTTGCATATTTGCAGTTCTACTGTCTGTGTTAATTTTTGTAAACTGGCTTTTGCTTTTGCTTCGCGAACACTGGCTGTAATCTCTTGCCGAAACTTCTGGTTGCTCATTGACTTCTTTTGCATATTTGCAGTTGTACGGCCTGTGTTAATTTTTGCAAACTGGCTTTTGCTTTGCTTCGCGAATACTGGCTGTAAACTCTTGCGGAAACTCCTGGTTGCTCATTGACTTCTTTTGCATATTTGCAGTTCTACGGTCTGTGTTAATTTTTGTAAACTGGCTCAGGGACTCAATTCTTGCACAAGAACGGGAATTCCCGTTCGAGCTGTATGGCCTTATAAATCTGGAGCTGGCCGTGAGCAAACCAAGTATTGCGACAGTTAGCCTTCCTCTTACAGCCTAAGACAGTCGCGATGAAACACACATAAAATATACAATACATAGCATATTAATTCCACTATATGCTACCAATGTCGGACATAGTCTCTCACAAAAAAAAATATATATATATATATACATAGTAACCACATACATGAAATGTCCGAGAAGGATTGCAGAATCTACCAGAAAAAAAAATCATAAATGAGGTATAAAGAGAACAAGTCGGCGCAGAACCAGTTCTTAATTACGTTTAAAGAGAGCAAATCAAAAGGGTTGCCCTCTTAAAAGGGCCGGCGAAGCCGTACCATACAATGCATACACTATGAGTAGAGAAGGACATAAGAGTGCAAGGCAGACCTAGAATAAGAAGGAAATATAACATCAGAGACATTCTACAACACAGTACGTTCATGGTCGAGGCAGGCAGACGCAAAACTTTGTACCCCTCTCCACATCGAAGCGGTAAAAGAGGAAGTGAAGAAGGTTGCAAGTCTTTTTGTGATAGTTGAGCTTATTCTAGGGGTCGTTATGTTGGGGGGGGGGGGGGGGGGGGGGGTGTGTGTATTTATATGTGCGAGTGTGTGTGTATGTGTGACTGTGTGTATGCGTGAGTGTGTATGTGTGTGTGGTGCTACAACCACCACAGCACCCATAATTTCTTTCTCACCCGACACTCCCGCTCAAACAAGTCGGCTCTGGTTAACATTTATGACCAGCATACTAAATTTGTGACAAAACCCACCTTTTCCCTTCTCTCTCTCTCTCTCTCTCTCTATATATATATATATATATATATATATATATATATATATATATATATATATATATATATATATATATATATATATATATATATATATATATATATACAGAGAGAGAGAGGGGGGGGGGGGGTGAAGAGAGAGAGAGAGAGAGAGAGAGAGAGAGAGAGAGAGAGAGAAGGGAAAAGAGAACAGGTGGGTTTTGTCACAAATTTAGTATGCTGGTCATAAATGTTAACTAGAGCCGACTTGTTTGAGCGGGAGTGTCGGGTGAGAAAGAAATTATGGGTGCTGTGGTGGTTGTAGCACCACACACACATACGCACTCACGCATACACACACCACACCGTCACACACATACACACACACACACACACACACACACACATATATATATATATATATATATATATATATATATATATATATATATATATATATATATATATATATATATATATATCGCTCAAACTCATCCACTCTTGTACACAAAATCTGTGGCAATAAGTACTACATCAACCACATAAATCTCTCCCTTTCTCTCTTGGAGGGTTTTGTGTTATGCATCAAAGACCATGGTCTGGGCCTTCTCGATGCCTACAGAACCCAGCTATACAGACTGGATCGAGTACAAAATGAGGCCTTGAGACTCATACTCGGCTTCCACTCGATGCACTACGTTATGGGTTTGCTGATATGGCTAACAGACACAAAGTTGCAAATGTCAAGGCGTAAGTTAGGAATCGGCAAACTTTAACTGCAAACGACACACAGTTATATTTGTCATAAAACGAATGTGTCTCAAAAGAAACCGCTCCTGGACGTCCGAGGCGGAAGATTTTAATTCATCAGGTTTGTGAGTTAGACGGGATCAGTCACGGAAAAAAATGGACGTATATACCAGTAGATATGTGTGGCTTTTATAAAGCTGTCACCACACTGGGCAGGCACTGCAGCCTTAGACACAGAGATAAGGGTATTCACATCCAGAGGACATCGTCATCCACACAGATGGGTCGTGAAGCTAGGGGCCAAGGTCAGCATGGGCATACACAACACAAAGAATGGGAAAAACAAAAAAAGACAGTAATGCTTACCAAGCAACTGCGTCAAGCATGCCTATGGATGTAACCCTCTGCTTTCAGAGCTAGAACAAGCAGCCACAAATACAGTAGTTGTATAAGACTCAATAAGCTTTAGAAAATCGCAACAGGCAGTATGCGCTCTGAATAGGTAGAAATAATGTGAATATTGCGTGTGCTAAACATTCTTCACCTGGATCTACACACCTAGTGATTCTGGCTTAAAAGGTAATGAATGAGTTAGTGGACAAACTGGCAAGCAGTGCACTAACGTATGCAGGAAGAATCATGGGCAAAGCAAATATCCTCAACGCTGTTTCCCGTTTGGGTTCCAGAGCCCCACTGTAGGGAAAACAAGAACAGACACAGTACCTCCTCAAAAAGCATATCGTAAGAGTCGACTAATTGGGGGCTTCCATAAAAGTCGGAGTGCATCTGCTTGAAAGACAAAGAACCAACGATCTGCATACAAATGAGCATGGTCTGTAAAACTGGTGAACACACAAAACTTAGGTCCTGGAACAAAGCTGAAGTATAGGAATCTATGAACAACCAGGTCTTTTCATCAGGTTTCACAAGCGGTGAACGCAAACATCATCATCATCAACGCTGTATAGACTGGGCAAGTTGATAGTGACATATCTCTAGCATTAATACGCATGGGTGCTCTAGGAGTAAAGCATGGTGAAGCACGTCTATGCCGCCTTCAAAGCTGAGATAGGAGACATTATAATTAACTCCTCATGGGAACAGTTAGAAGAGGTAGGTGGCTTGGAGTTGCTGCAGCATCAGAGGACAG